AGCATCAGTTCTTCCCAAAACCTAATTTTTTTTTCTTCAAAATTCCCTCTCCTCTAAAAACCTAACTAATCCCCAACCTCCACCCTGCCGCCGTCGCCAACCACGTCAAGAAAAAATTAATGTTGTTGATTCAATATATTAATTAATTAATTCAATATAGATTAGTCTTTATGATTTCCCTCTCTAATGTATTTAATTAATTGATTCAATATATTAATGTTGTTGTGTGGGTTTATAATTGATGGATTTAATTAATTTATGTGTAGAAAAAATTATCATGGAATGATTTTTTAAGAGAAAAGTGCCTATGAATAGTGAGTCTAATCCGGGTAGTTCTAGTGCAAGTGCCTATGGTAGTTCTAGTTCTAATGGACAATTATAACTTGTATTTTTTAGTGTTATTTTCTTCTTGACAAAATTTCGAGACTTTACACTATGACCCCATGGCGACACAATCCTGCGTCCGCCATTGCTGGTATGTAGTATATATATCCCTCTTTGAGAGAAAAATAAACATATATGTTTAAATCCTAATTACTTTTGAGTTGGTATCAGAGCGGGTTCCGATCCGTCTCCACAACATCAAAATCCTAATCCTAAAAAATACCTATTTCCGCTGCACCTAGCCTATACACCTAAACCTGTCCGCCTATACACCTAAGCATGCGCCGTCTCATATCTCTTACTATTGTCGTCGCCACACCTAATCTTCTGCCGCCATCACCATCTATCACCATGCCGGATGTCACTGAATCTTCTTCTTCTACCTCTATTGCGACGGTTCATATTGAATTGTCCACCAATCTAACCATGGGATTCAAATTGAATGGATCCAACTATGAGACATGGGCTTCGATGATCTAACTCCATGCTACCGCACAAGGCAAATTGGGTTACGGGTTCCGATCCGTCTCCACAACATCAAAATCCTAATCCTAAAAAATACCTATTTCCGCTGCACCTAGCCTATACACCTAAACCTGTCTGCCTATACACCTAAGCATGCGTCGTCTCATATCTCTTACTGTTGTCGTCGCCACACCTAATATTCTGCCGCCATCACCATCTATCACCATGCCGGATGTCACTGAATCTTCTTCTTCTACCTCTATTGCGACGGTTCATATTGAATTGTCCACTAATCTAACCATGGGATTCAAATTGAATGGATCCAACTATGAGACATGGGCTTCGATGATCTAACTCCATGCTACTACACAAGGCAAATTGGGTTACTTGATTGGCGACATTGATGCCCCTGATTCCCAAGACCCACTATTTGGGAAGTGGAAAATTGCTGATGCTATTGTAAAAAGTTGAATGCTGCGAACTATGGAACCCAGTTTGTTGAATATGTTTCATACTCTATCAATTGCTAAGGAAATTTGGGATGATGTTAATGAGATGTTTTATGATGGCTCTGACATATCCCAGCTCTATGAACTACGGTGCCAGGCTACCCGTATCAAGCAAGAGAGTCGTCCTGTCTCTACCTATTTTGCTGAACTTTAGACAATCTGGCTTGAATTGGACAAGAGACGTCATTTTCGGACGAAGTGTGCTGATGATATGAAGACTTTTCAACCTGCTGTTATGGCAGATTGTATGTATGATTTTATGGTCCGTCGTGAGGCTCAATGCCAAATTACTATGCTTGGATCCGGCACCAAGATTGGGGAACCTGCTGTTGTGTTTGCTTCCAAAAACAATGCTCTGGTCTCTCAACCTACAGGGTCTGGCTCTTCTGTCATTTCACCTTGTCACCTGACTTTTGCAGAAAAAGACAAACTGAAGTGTGATCGTTGCCTATGATACACGCGATACAGATTGGATTATTGATTTATGAGCTATTGACCATATGACGTATAATTCTGCTTTATTCTCTACTACTTTCCCTCCTCATCGTGATCATGTTTTGACTGCTAATAATGTTGCTGCTCCTGTCACGGGGGCGGGTTCTATACTCTTGACACCTACTTTATCATTGGACAAAGTGTTACTGGTTCCATATTTGTCTAGTAATTTATTTTCTGTGTCGCAAGTTACTGAGCAATTAAACTGCATTTTACTAATGTATCCGTCTTTTGTCTTACTACAGGATATCCAGACTCGAGAGATCTTTGATCGTGGTACTAAAAATGGGGGGCTTCATTATGTGGATGACGTGGAAACTAGTCAGGTCCTTCATGATGGTAGAGCCCAAACTTCTCAAATTCGCCGAATTTGGTTGCTACATTGCCGATTTGGTCATGCCTCCTTTGGATATTTACGTCATTTGTTTCCTGCATTATTTAGTGGTGTCAACGAGTTTGCTTTCGAATGTCAGACTTGTATTTTAGCTAAGAGTCATCAAATATCCTACCCTCCGAGTTGTAATAAACAGCTTATGCCATTTGATTTAGTTCATTCTAATGTTTAAGGACCTTCCCCTGTTTCTACAACCTTGGGAGTTTGCTGGTTTGTGTTATTTGTGGATGATTGCACTCATATGATGTGGTTATATGAGATGAGATATAAAAGTGATGTGGTCAACATCTTTCAGTGTTTCTATCAAATGATTTAGACTCAATTTATGCTCCATATCAAGATTTTTCGATTTGATAACAGTGGAGAATTTGTTAATTCGGCATTATCCCATTTTTTTCACACTAAGTGTGTACTCCATGAGACTACTTGCCCTTGAACACCACAATAGAATAGGGTCGCTGAATGTAAAAATGGGCAGATCCTTGTTGCTGCTCGTGCTCTACTGCTTGGTGCGTCAGTTCCAAAGCGGTTCTAGATGGATGTTATTACCTATGTAGTCTATCTCTTGAATCATTTACCTTCACGAGTTCTGGATTTCCGAATTCCTATGCAGGTACTGACCCATCATATCTCTGTCTCTTCTATGCTGACTCTGTCTCCAGAGGTGTTTGGTTGTGTCGTCTATGTTCACCTCCATCATAATTAAAGAAGTAAGCTGGACCTTTGTGCTCTCCGCTATGTCTTTCTAGGTTTCTCTCCTCATCAAAAAGGTTATCAGTGCTATCATCCTGCTACCCGATGTTTATAAGTTTCTATGGATGTTACCTTCATTGAGGATGATATGTTCTTCTCTCATACAACCTGAGCATGTCCTTCAAGGGGAGGCTAGAAGTGAAGGACATAGCTGGCTAGATTTACAAGGGGGAGTGGTATTGGATGGTTTGATATAAAGGGGAGAACTGGCCGAACCTGCTGAACCGGCCGAACCTGATGCACCGGCTGAACCTCTTACACCAGCTGAACCTACTGTTTTAACTAATGTCGCTGCTGTAACTGAACTGATTGCCCCCATGAAGCTTATGTAATAGTACCCGATCAAGCTCCCCTAGATATTCCTAAGGTAAGTAATTCTATTCATAGTGCTGATAATTTTTATGTTCTACCGCCTAGACGGAATTGTGGGGTTCCACCTGATCGTTACTCATCAAAAGGCAAATCAAGATATGCTATTGCCCATTATGTGTCTGATCACAGGTTATCTCCTCAGTGTAAAGAGTTTGTGACCA